TAATCTGTGTAGTATAATATGTCACTTAGAAGGTTCTGTATTACAGTTAAATTATTATATTCTGGATTAATCTGTGTAGTATAATATGTCACTTAGAAGGTTCTGTATTACAGTTAAATTATTATATTCTGGATTAATCTGTGTAGTATAATATGTCACTTAGAAGGTTCTGTATTACAGTTAAATTATGATTTTTTAATGTGAATTTAAAGTTAATAACAAAAAATGAAAATAATTGGAATTATATGCATTTGTGATACCAAAATAATTATGTTTCGATCTTATGTTTAGTTATAAGAGCTTTTACACGTGCCCCCTGGGTGCTCAGAATTAAGTCTGAGAACTTATACCTCTAAATATTGTGTTTGATACTTGAGGTGTGCACAGAACAAATTGGCCATTCTGTATCTTTACACTTAACAACAAACAAACAGGACCTTTACGTGTATAGCTTGAGTCCTAGTCCTAAATTATATTTGACATTTTTATTTATTTTAATTAGATATTTTTTATCAATTTACAGACGATTGTTGATGTTCTTCGTCAGGCTGCAAAAGTGAGTAAGCCAGTTTAAGTATGATGTAAATCAAATCAAAGTACTCGCTGAAAGGTATTGCTTATTATTAATTGTTTTTTTTTTGTTGCCGATAGTAAACTTGTTTTTAAATCTGTCTGTCTATGTGTTACATTAACGTGCAAAATGGTATTGTTTCAAAATTGTTAGTTATAAAAAAACAGCAAAATTAATATAATTATAATGTTAATATTAATAAAAACAGATGACGAATTAGGAGTTTTATCACTGTTACTTTAGTCCAGATGCTTTATTTCAATTTTCCTATTAAATGCTTAGCATTTTCATTTCTCTTTTCTCTATCCAACTGTTTAAAATGATTTGGAAATAACTTGCTGTTATAGTTTTATAACCTAATTGGGCAATTCTTAGTTTTTTTTAGAATTTATCATATTAAAAAAAAGAAACCATAAAATATGTTATCTTACAGTTTTTTTAATTTAATACCTGTCTCTCTATCCCATTTTTTAGTCTAGCTCAGCCATATGGAGGGGGGGGGGCTTTCACGAAAATAATTGTCTTTGTGCCTACTTCCGCCCCTCGATTATGTGGTCAACAGTAAGCTTGGGGGACATTAAACTTTCGATTTTGATTCCTGCTAGCGTGAAATGCCCCTCGTAGCTTTGCACTTAAAAAACAAAACGAAACTCTGATGTTTTAGTTTCTTTAAACTTCATCCAGCAAACTCAAATTTATAATTTTACTTCTAGTTTTAAAACTTGTAACTTACTTTTTATTTCTTATGATAAGAATAATGTCAAAGAACACTGGATTTTATGTTTAACATTTGAGATGAACTTAAGATTTCTACAAAATGTTTGTTTACAGTTTAGCTGCTTCTAAAGCTAGAAATCAAACATAAAATATCAGTTCATTCACAGTTTTATCACAACTGTGAAATATGTTAGCTCTTTCTCATAAACCACTCTCAAGGGGTGCCAAAATCGACACGACAATTAGCAGTTATTGTTGATTTTACAGGGGCACGGATGCCAAATACAAAGTTCACATAGGCCATAATTTTGCCTCGGTTTAACTCTGATAACAACAATCATACAAACAATAATAACTAAGGTGTCTTTTACTTTTCATATTATTTAATTTCCATTGTTACTTTGATTAACTTATTGGTTTCCAATACCGACAAATAACTTGAACATATTTATCATTAACTGGTTTATACTTCAGTCTTTATACATTTTCAAAGTACAGTTGCTAAATATAACGATAATTAAACAAATAAAACACTAAACAGTAATCATGGGGAGAAACTACAGCAAGAAAACACAATGAAAAGAAAAAAAAACAACGAAAAATCAGTATTATTTTTTTTTACTTTTCATTGTGTTTTCTTGCTGTAGTTTCTCCCCGTGATTACTGTTTAGTGTTTTATTTGTTTAATTATCGTTATATTTAGCAACTGTACTTTGAAAAT